AAAATCATTAAATCAATTAACGATTGGGTATGAACCCTAATATATCAGGACTAGAGTCAACCACTATCAACTATTCTTCGACAAATAAAAAACTACAATAATTATCATGCATTCATATTATTTAGTGTTCCGTGGACAGGAGAAATGTACTAAACTAGGGCTCGAGATACACAACACTAAAGAAGATATTGTATTAGGTAACTTAACAAATCGTCGTAGAACACCATAAGAACTGAGAAGGACCTTCAAAGGGTCAACTAACGGTCAACTCGCCGACAACTATGACAAATCGTCGGTCACAATTAAAATTTCTTCATGATTGATGAAAACTAACCGATCATAAATCCTGCGGGACTGTTCTAACAGAGCGTACCGTAATATTAATATAAATTAAATAAAAACTTAATGGAAAGCTACATAAGCAAATACCGTGCATGACGTCATTAACCAGCCAAATTATGGTTGTACCGATGACAACAAAATGTTCAAAATATTTTCCTGAGTGTCACCACGTTGCCCGATTTTTCATTTTTGTTGCCTGAGGGGAGGGGGATTGTATTTTGATTGTTCCAATTTTGTGACGACACTGTTTAATATTTTTTCTATTTTTTTTCACAAGGTTGTACCAAATACTCCTAAAAATGATTTCATATTCACAATTGAATTTTATTCGTCATTTCAGTCATTTTGAGAAAGCACAAACTACACACGAGCGAAATTGGATAATTCAGCTAGTGTTTTATAAATTAATGAACTTATTACCTTAACGTTACAATTATATAATAACATAATTTACGAATATTTTACATGTATATAAGTCTTAAGGCTCAATTATAATATCACGATTATTGTTATTGTAAATTGAATTTTACTCACTATTATTCCGGTTGTGCCAAACAAATATTCAAACTATAAAACATATATTTTAATAAATACTCTGTATAGAACAACTGGGAATTGTAAAATTATCATTATACTTCCAGAAATTATATAAACCATGCTATTATTAAATATTCTTACTATAAGTTCTGTTACTATATGTTTATTTGATGCATTTATACTTGGCCACACATACATTAGTCGAACGTTTGTTTCGTATGATAGATATTAATGTTTGTTTTTATCAAATATTTTATGTAAAGTAAACATAATACAATTATTATTTTATTGTTGTGACTTTAAATTAAAATTTCAAAGATGTTTAAAAACTTCAATTACACAGTGAGCAGACACTTGTATTTCAAGACATCTATTGGAAAGTTACAATTTTGGTAGAATGGTGTGAACATAGTTTTTGTGCATAAATCTGCCGGGTGAAACTTACATCCGATTTAACCATTTCAGATTTTCTTAAAACAATCCATGTCTTTAAAAATAGTATTTTATTTTCAGTGACAATAATTTAACAACAGAACTAGATCGTGCTTACATCATAATATACAATATGTACATTTCTATACCTGCTTAAGTATAATATAATAATGCATAATCTATGTCAATAATAATCGGACTACTATGTATTATTTTCATTACTCCGTCAATCATTAGAGAAAAGTGAGATGGTCGTTTATGAATAATTTCAGTCGCATAACACGTGTATCGTCTTATTATTACTAAAAATCAATATTTTGCTATATATTAGTGACTTTAATTTCCGCATGACTGGAGCATTCCGTCTATTAAATTACAGAAACGTCCTTTAAAATTATCCAACTCTCACTGCGAACCATTGTTATACAATTAGAGCTCGTAAGTTTAAAATTAAAAAATGAATGTCCTAGTTGTAATCATTTTGAATTATTTTTACATTTCAATTATAAAACGTGTTGTAATAAAATATAAATTCAGGAATTCCCGGGATCAGAATATCAAATGACACATCGTATTGTACGACGATCAATTATGTAAATTAATAATTACTATTGCATGCTAATGACTTAACCGAGTTAGACCCATTCACGGTACAAAATTTCAGTAATTAGTAAAATAGTAAAAAAATGGGTATTATTTTTATTTTTAGTTTTGGTGGTATACATAATATGTATAAATGATAATAAATAAAACTACTTAACTGATGTCTGGTTGAAAACGTATACACACTAATGCTGAGGTATTATAATAAAATTATAGAATGGTTTATTTTTAATTTTTAATGTGCCCTTAAAGTATAGTATTATTTATCCCGGTAAGTTATAAAATAAATCTTGTTTTTTAATTTTTAAACTGTAAGAATATTATATCGAAAATCAACACAGAATATTATTTACTCTATAATAATATGATATACCTACACATTAAAGTGGAACCACAGCTGTGAGGGCTGAGGAGCGCAATATGTCGTCAGCAAAAATGTCTACAAGTGGTACTTCATATTTTTTAGATCGTGAGAACGGAGCGATAAATTTATTGATTTTACAATGATGTGTGCTTTTTATTTTTGCTTCTGTCATCGCCTTTTGGAATTGAGGCAATAAAAACGCTTAAGTTTTCAATTTTTAATAAGTATTCTGGTAGGAAAGTGAATTTAGTTGGTCAAAATTAAAAAAATGTTAGTACTTTTCTGAAAAAATGGGTGGGGGAATAGGGAAAAATTAGAATTAATACACAAAATTAGTTTTTAACTAGATCGATTTTACTATTTTGTTGTTATTCAAAAATGAATAATCGTGAATACTTGGGATGTTCATCAAACGTTCATAATATGATTTATTACACAATGTATAATTTTAACTCTTTTTAGACTATTTATAAACATTTTTTTCGATGATTGTTAATTAAAAATGAATAATGATTCTTAATTTATGTCAAAATACAATACATACATTGTATAAAATATAAAATTGTTTTTACTGGAATCAAAAAAAAAGTTAAGCATAACTCCACAAATAATTTTTTTAAGCATCTAAAATTTAAATTTTGACGAAATTGGATATTTACTTGTTAAACAATGGTTTCTCATCAAACAATTTACTTATTTTATTGTATCTAATTCAAAAAAGAACAAATGTAAATAAACTTAAAATATTCATAAATTTGTATTGGTATTATACAGGGTATAATTTTCAAAATATATTGATTAATTGTAAGATATAAATAATATATTTATAAAAGAATTTTAATGAATTTTACTGTCGAATGCAATTAAATAATAATAAATACAGTTAATTTTATGTTTAACATCACATCTTACATTTTACGATGATCCTTAGTCTTGGTAAACTATTGATACTTGATTCATAAGCAACAATGCCGTAATATATCATTATTTGATACGATATAAAATTTAAAATTATATTTTTATTTTAAAACTTAAAATTATTTGAAAAATTTAATTTTGAAAACAAATTTATAAACTCTTTCAAAAAATACTGACTCCAATATAAATGCGAAACCGGTCTAAGTCAAAATGCCGTAAATGATAATTTTCGCTTGCAAGCCAAGAAAAAATGTAGTACCTTCAACATTATTTAAGACATTTGTGCTTAGTCAATTGATATTATAGCGTTTTAGTTATTTAATGTTACCTCCATTATTTTTGTTAGGCAATATTTCAAATTTACGACGTATTCGCCTACACAAGCAGAATTATATTATTTTTTTATTTTTGTCTTATGGTGTTTTAGCTTACAAAGGAGAAATATAACTATAATATACGTCATGTAACATTATTAAAATTAAATTAACTAAACTACACATAATACAGTATTATTTATATTTATATTTATACATCATAATAATTTACCTTCATATCTATACGTGTGGATAAATAACAATTGAAAGTTATGGCCTAATTCTTAATAATAATAAACGTAAAATGACAATAATAAGTCTAAGTACAATATTTAACACGTTATGACATACATGCTTACAAAATTTTATTTCAAAAATAAACATTAATTCAATAATAATTAATACTACTATGTCGGTGATACTGTTACATTGGATCAGCGCCATAAACAATATAATCATATATCCATATGGTTATGAAATTTGTTGCTGTGCGGAATTCACACCAAATAAATTTAAAAAATATAAAAATTTGCCTTCCAATAGCAGTCATTTTAATCTATAATCACATAATATACACGAATTATGTATATTATAAATATAGCCTAGTCGGTTAGCTAAAAGCTTATATTATACAAAGTAGTCTTACTTTGTCAATTCTTACTAATAAATGCTCTCGACCAGGTTCGATCTAAAGTTATAGCTATCTATAGTTTCTAAAGGTCAGTTTTTAAGGTCAAGTTAGCATTACGTTAGTAATATAAGTTTATCCGTCCTGTACGTGTTGGAATTCAAGCGAGATTGAGTGCTTGAGCTAGATTCATCGTGGGATTTGTCTGGGTATGTATGGGCGATACCGAGTAGTGATGAATTAGACGAATATGCAAGGTGGTGGAGGTCGAAATAGAATAAAATGTTACGCAAACGATAATATATATATTATGTTTTACAGGAAATGGCTCGAAGCGACGTTTTTTTTTTCTTTTTCTTTTTTGTAAAATATTTAACAATAGTGAGTATATTATAAAACAACGCCCAGAGCCTAATTTAAAAATTTGGCGCCTCCAGGCAAACAACGTTATTATTATTCATTCCAATCCTAAAAATATCTCTCACTATTATTTCGTTTCCAATGGCCTAGCAGAAAATTCATTTCAATGACATTTTTTCAAGTTTTCGACTCGCTTTATTTTATTTGAAAAATAAAAACATTTAATAGTTTATGATTTACTTTTTTTCTTATTCAAATATTAACAAGATCGTCACAATATTTCTCGATAAAATTATATGAAAAATACTAAATAATATTAATATTTGCATTTTACTTTAAGCCATAGATAACATTTCTAACTACCTCTCCCCGTCGTTAGGCAAACTACTATACACTCTACTTGCATCGCATAGGCGAACAAACTCGTCTGTTCGTTTTAATTCTTAAAAATAAAATAAATTCCACGTGGTTTTTTTAATTCGAAATAATTTTGATTTTGCAGAAGCCAATAGGTGCGCTGGAAAAACGAACTAAATGCTTTTTATGCTGCAAAAGCAATAAAATAGTATTGCAATGCCTACTAGAGAGGTCAGCATACGTATGCGGCGAGGCGCTGAGACTAAAAGCCAACATAAAAAACCAAAATGAAAAGGACATCAGACTTAAAGTCAGATTACTGCAGGTAAAACTTTTTTTTTAAATACCATATCAAATTTATAGTTTACTACACTCATTTATAAAAGTTCAGATTTACTGACTTTTAAAAGCATTGAAGAAATATATTATAGCACTATAACAGACGATTATTGAAATTTGTTTGAAAAATTAAAGACCCGACGTATATTATACTAAATCTATTAAAACAAACAACAATCATATTATTAAATTGTTTGTAATTAATTAATATTGAATAAAATAATAATTTCTGGTATGGCTAAATCAGCTGATAATAATAAACAAACTTAAATACTACATTGTAGTACTAGTAGTACTACCCACGTTTAATAAATTGTCTACCATCAAATTTAAATAAAACTAAAAATTTTCAAGAATTTTAATCCAAAAATTATCGTTATTTAAATTTACATAGGTATTATATTTTACAATATTATCATTATGTTTCAATATAAAACGATTGACGATATAATTTTTAAAAATTGTCTTTAACATACTACACAATATTTTAAACATTGAAATATTATATGCCACGGCTATAGATTGATAATGCTATATTAATCAATATATTATTTTGCTAAAGAATTGCTAACTCATTGTAAATATCTATCTATGTAAGAGACGGAAAAAATTGATTAAAAAAAGTTACAAAACATATTAAACGTAAAAAATACAACTGAATGTATACATGAGGTAAATCGACAATAGTATTATGTGTATAGCAAACTCTATGTATTATAGTTTATATAATATATGTATACCTGACAACGAATTAATTTATTTTTAAATTTTAAATTAGGTTACGCTACGTCTCTTTAAATTGGTTAATATATAAAATACTAAATTAAATTTCAAATACAACTGTATAATATTGACGATCATTCGTAATATATACAACGTTATTTATACCTCCCATTGGACATATAGAATTCGTTCATTATTCACTCAGATTAATCGTTCACAACCTAAATTCATCAAAACGTAAAGGACGTGTCATATTAAGTATTTCCCCAGTGTGTAGGTACCGAATACAATTTAACTAATCCCGGAATCACGACATTATTTGTTTATTTAAATATTCAGCTTACAGCACTTAAATCAATACTAATAATTATTGATCTAACCTACATCGGAACGAAACTTTAAATACGATGTATATACCTTGAGCGAAACGTGGACTAATGTATTGGTTTAACGAAAATGTTTTTTCATCGGAACACTATTTGTGATTTCCGATAATTTAAAAGTTTCGAAATAATATACACATTTAATGAACTGAAAATTTTAACTCGATATTATTTTTAAACGTTTATATATACTTGAATGTTTTTTTTAAGCTAAAAATAATACTGCTTTTAATCGCAAAAACGATGAATTGTGTTTTGTTTACTGTTATCTGATCTAATAATACGCTATAACAACACCTAAAATTATTACCAAATAAATAAAAAGGTACCCTATTTAATATTTATAGATAAAAGATTTTATTAAAATAGTCAAAAATTTGATATATATTTATGAGGAAGACTCCATTAATCTTAATTTAAAACTATTACTATTGTTTAATTAAAATATCTAGATGATATTAATTCATAGAAAATATCGAATAGGCTATCCCCAATTTTCAGCAATGAGTTTTACAATAATTTACAAACTCCTCAATAATCTTAAATATAAAGGCAAATGTAAAGTATAAAATATAAATAATCGAATAACTACTATCAACACATAATTATTATAAATATAAAAATACATTATTGATCATATTATTATTTAAAACATATATGAGTATAAGCTAATAAAATTTCAGTCAAGAATCAATTTTCATTCAAATCTGCTTGACGTTCTCAACTAAAGTAAAATATACAACTTCTATAATAACTATAAGTATAGTCTTTCGTCAAATTATCATGAACAAATTTAACGATTTAATAGTAAAGTAAAAATGTTCAGGTATATATTTTTTAGTGTTCTATAAAAATCTGATTTTGGTTAGGTTACACAGTACACACTAGAACTTGTCCCATTTCACTTAACTTCGGTCGTCTTTTATGGACTATATTACAGTGTATAACAGGGGTCGGCAACCTGCGGCCCGCAAAGCAATTTTTGATGGCCCGCACAAAGGTGGTTAATTTTTGTGTTTTATTTTTGTTCAACAACATTTTTCATATAATTTTCAATATTATATAATTTTTTTTCCTTTATAAATAAAATCTAATCTAACAGTTTTATAATAGCAATACAATTATAAGTATTATATCATAATATGTATTTTTTTTTTTTTTTTTAATGTGGCCCTTGATGAACAATTAAAAAAAAAAAATGGTCCACGTGGTTAAAAAGGTTGCCGACCCCTGCAGATGTATAATATAATATAGCTTCCACTATAATTGGATATCGATAAATATTAAATGCTTTATAATAAGAACATGTTAAGCAGAGTGAGATATTTTACAGTAAATACCCACACTATTTTGAAAATAATTATACAAACTACTCTCGAAATTTTCTACCTGGAAAATGTAAAAGATACGCCTTATTTTGACATTAAATATTATATGATTAATTGGTTTTTAAACTTTTTGTTTCATTAATGATGACAATCTTTATCTTTAATATCATAATCTAAAACAAAATAATTTCTTAAAAAGATATAATTTATAAATATTGACTATAAATCGAACAAGTTTTTATTTTTAAGTAAGCATAATAGATACCTATTTAAATTTTAAATGTGTTTATGTTAAATATAATATTGGATATATTGTGTATCATCGATAACAAATTTAAATATAAAATTGTTTATTGAAAATACCATAGATGCAATTTGAAGATTTTATTAAAAATTAATCTCATAATGTATCCTATTAACAGGTAAATACAAAGTTCATATTTTATATTAATTGATATGTGTAGTAAAAACACATTATCGTATATTTATAAAGTTAAACAATTTTTCATTGGAATTTTACACCAGATCACATTTTTATAAACGTTCAACAAAAAATTAAAAGAGTATTCGATGTATTATTATAATAGGTATTATTTGCATTTCAAGTATGTAATATGAAAAAATACCTGTTTAACGATGTTTATTTTTTAATCTAGTGCTTAAAACTTTTATAGAAAATATAAAAAAAATAGTACCTGCTACGTGGTAAATCCCATCACAATATTTCAAAGTTAGAAAAACATTTTGAATTAATTGTTTAATGAACGGTAATGTAAACTGATCACTCTTAGAAACATTTTTCAAACACAAATTTATTCAAAATGTCTACCTAAAGGTTGAAATAACAATAATAAACATTATTTTTTTTTCAAACTGATTAATCAATAGGTAATTACTTAATTCAATTTGTATAGGTAAATTAAAATTAAATTAAATTCATTTTTGGCATCAACAATATATTATTTTAAAATTTATTTTAATTAGATATTAAATGTTTAATAATTTATTTTTAAAGATTATAAATTAATATAAAAACGCTTGCCCTCGTGAGATAAAACTAATAAAAGACTATTTTTTAATAACTGTTTTTACCAAACAACTTTTGTGGATTTAAGCCCATAAATTCTCCCAATATATATAGGTATAACGTTCGAAGATTTGATGGTTTTTTTTTTTTTTGAAGATTTAAATAAATAAGTATATAATATATATACATTCTATAATTGAAATTAAAACATGCTTTCTAGTTTTATATTTATAACTATTATATCTGTTATTTTTAAATTCAGAAAACATTTTTTAAAGTGTAAATTTTCACTAATTATTTGGTTTACATGCTCAAAACAAAATATCACAAGTAACATAAGTAATATAATATACTCTTTAATACGTTTTAAGCGATAATACTGTATCATTCAAAAATACAAACTTTCGGTAGTATTATATCGTAGAATTTCCATCAAACTTTATTTGACTATTTCGCGTCGCAATAAAAATTGTATTATTCAAAGAGTTTAAATCGCGTCCAACACTTGCTCGAGCTCTTTTATAACATTTATTCTTATATTTAAATACACATAATCTTTTTCAGTGCCGTTGACTGATGATTTATGATGAACTATAGTACATGTATATAATAAATTAATGCAATCCACAAACATTTTACTTGAATAAATATCTAAATGTATAATATCTTCGCAATTAAAGTATGTGAATGTGATTTAAAAAAGTATCATTATGAATAATAAAATAAAACTATAATTTTTGATAGTTAAAGAAACGTTTCTGATCACAGAGTCAGGATTGAGCACGTACTAACGTAGTAACATCTTACAGACAAAAACATAAAATATTAGCAATTTAAATCAATAAAGATTCCTCAGAAATTATAATTCCTTAGGAAATCATTTTATAGGTATAACTTTCATGATATTCTTTTTGTTATTCGCATGGCAATTTACATTTTTCGGTTAGTATGTACAACCATAATAATATAATATACGTACTAATAAAGGACAACCGATAATAATATTTTTCTGACGAATATGTGTGTTTATTTAATGATTAATGATTCTTAAACTATTAATGTTCATATTTTTTTATCATTATTATTATTATTATTATTATGAGCGTGTTACGTTTTAATAAAAACATATACTTTCTATGTATCCTATGTATCCTTCCTATCAGTCACTGCAACGCTTCTCGCATTTATAAACTCAAATCACTGCAGTTGATCAATGTATGTTTAATGATACGATAATTCGGATGTATAACTACTTTACGAACGTTTTCAGTGAACATTTTTTTTTTCAGATTAAAAGTCTTTCTAGGTAACACGTTAAATTGCGATAGAGTATTTTTTAAATCTTTTTTTTTTTTTTAACACAAAAAACAAGCGTTTTGTGTGAAAAAATCCCCCCCCCCACGACCATCGACAAATACGATTTTTCCATTATTAAAAGTATTTAATAATTTATGCGTTAATATTATAGTATTGTATTTGCATTTCAGAACGTACATTATTCGGTGGAACGCGGCATGCTGGGCGTTCAAAATCAAAAAGACGTCCAACACTCGGTGTTGGAGTACATCGGCGAACCGATACACACTGGATGCGAGTCGCAATGGGATTCCGCCGACGGCCTGGTCCTGCCAGTGATGCCACCTACATTGATCGGCAACTGCAGGCTGTTACAAATATATTACCTACTCAAGGTGACGAACGACGGACATCGCGTAGTTGTTGTGACGATTACTATTATTATTATTATTATTATTATTTTCGACCGAATCTCCTCCGAGTTCAAATTTCTATTTATTCGTGTTTGAGGTTTTTTTTTCTTTTTTTTACCACATTGATTTTGCATGATATAGAGGAAATCACTAAGCTAGTAGTATTCGTGAGATTTTCGATTATTTATTTTGCTTTAATACTTATAATGCACGATATACGCCCCTGTAGAAACAATTGAAAACAGTAGATTTTTAAATTACAAAATACCACATTTTACTGAGTGGTTCATTATATTATAAAAGGCTGTAAAAATTATTTATTTTTTTTTTTAAATTTTTGCATAGTTAACACTTTATTCTTAAAAAAAAAAAAAAATAGTCCAATCGCTTTATGACAAATTTATTAGAGAAAATTTTTCTAAATATTTTAATAGACATTAAATTTAATGAATAAGTTTTTACTATTATTATTTATTTTCATATAAATAATAAACATTTTAAGCATTAACGTTATTCAACTTTTGGCGAAATAATCATATATATAGGTACCTGTAACACGATAAATTAAAAAAGTTATAGATTAATAATGGAATATAGGTAACTTTTAAAATAAATACAAGACAAGTTATGGGTGTAAATTATTACGCCTTAATAGTTTATTGACTATTAAAGACACGGGAATATGGCCCTTCCTAATGTGTTATTTTACAGACACTTCGTTCTTACAGGAATTAAATCGTAGAGTTAGTAAAGTTTCTGTGATTGAGTTATTCCGGGGATTCGAGGAACAATATACAGGACAACAATGCAGGTGAATCAATCGGGCTGGAAACCTAAACATTTAAAAATGTGATATAATATTTTTCCTTATACTAAGTGTAGGTAAATTATGTGCAACTAAATTTGACTAATAGTAATTATTGAGTTCATGATTAATATATCGTAATAACATTTTAAAAAACTAATTTTGAACACGTTCAATTTTAGTTTTGTTACGCTTGCTATATAAATACCATACCACAGAACCATAATATAATTACTATAATTAATCCTACTTAAGTATAATATCGACAAAAATTGTTCAATCATAACTATCGTAAAGCTCTTACTATCCACATAGACAACGTGAGTTGTAAATGATAATATTAGAAAAACAAATAAAACCTAGATACTCGACTTAATTAATTTGATGCAATATTACGTTACCATCATATTGAAAAATAGAATGGCTTCTGAAAAATGAAATAACTTTACATTAATGGATAGCTAATTCAAGATAAACTGTATAACACAAACGTACTAGCTTTTTTAATGATTGTGTAATAAAATACTTACTATAATTTCCAGATTCGACAGTATAAAATAATTATATGTCATCGACAAATAAAAGTAAAGTACAATCGATTGATTTATAAGAAAATTATGAAAAAAATCAACAGAAGTACAGTGACAGATGTGCCTGTACATTATTTGTATTTACGTTTTATTTTTTATTTAAAATAGTAATAGTAACTTAAAAAAATTATGTTTTCATTATTATTCGAGTACACTTTCCAGTTGAACAAATTATACATACTCGATTACACAACATTCGATCATATACTATAACAAGTGGTTTAACTTCAGGTTTGAATTCACTACAAAATGTAAATATTTTTGTTCCACAAATTCTACAAAAATTAAGGATGGAAATTTTTCAATTACTTTTATGGTACCTATTAACAGCAATAGTGTGGAAAAATTAATTTAAAATATATTTTTCGGTAATAATCTGAAATTTTAAAGCAATTTTTAAAATCTTTATTACTTACCGTATTGGTACAGTATACCTATCTACCACGGTAGATAAAATAAAATACCAAACTACTAGGTCATAATTAATTAAGTATAATACTGTTACGTTTAATGCATGCGTAGACCTAGAAAATCATTTCTTACGGTGAAATATTGCTCAGTGTGCCTATTTAAATAATATATAATTGTGTATATACTTACTTACAGGTTTGCGTGGATTTGGGAAAGGGAGACGAAGACCTCAACATAACGTTCCCGATAACAATAGCCACTGTGCCATTCAGGATACCAAACTGTAACAAGACTCCTCAAATATTTTACAGTGAGTATACCTACATATATAATATTGATGAATAAAAAATATAAGTTTAATTGACAATAGTTGGTCGTTATAACCCGTGACGTATTGTGCGAGGGATAAAAATTATAAAAAGATACAATTCCCTTCTTGACTATTTTTTTTTTTATATATATATCATTTTAGCTGAAATTTTATTGTTTACTAAATATTAATATTATGTACCTTAACATATAAAAAAACATTGCCGTAAACCTAAAATACATTTTCTTATTTAATATGATCGAAAATTATGTTATACCCAATATATGAAACCAGACCGTCCTAAATAAACCGAGAATTACTATAATAATTATGCGATTTTAATTTTGAATGAAGAGCAAATCGAATGGACTGGCTATGTTGACCATTTGCATAATATTACAAATTAAAGTTGGCGAAATAATTAATGAAATTGAAATTAAAAACAATTAATTACAATTGTTATTATAAATTTATAAATTACAAGATTGTACGAATTATAAATTAACTTTTTTTTTAAACTTATTTTTAATACTTTTCAATTATTAAGCTTTACGCATTATTTAATATTTTCTCTCTCTTGACACAAAATCCGACGTTACGCCACTGGCGTTAATGAGATATTAAGTTCAATATTTAAATTGATTTTATTAATTACTTATAAAAACAAAAAAATCTAAGATTATGCATTATTATTTGATTATTACATATTTTATTATTATAAATTTATTTAATTTAATAATGTTACATAATATTATTAACCATGAATTTCATTCTGAATTCAAAATAAGCAAACAAATTTGATTCTAGACATTATCATTTCAATCAAGACATTGTATTTTTAATACCTACCATACGTCTATATTTACATGGTTTTGTATAAACTATTGTTATACATTATTTTATGTTACTATTTTAAGTGTTTTGTCAAATTACAACATTGCATTTAATGTTTATATGGTTACCTATGTCATAAACCTAAAAAGTTATAACTATTTTAAACTAATGACATAAATAGAGATTCTTTGTAATTTAATTTAGATATAACTTTTAATTGAAACCACTTTGACCAGTTAAGCTTATTATATAAGTACAAAATTAAGAATCATTTTTGCCGCACCAACTAGTTAACAAATACCATTATGAATTTTTTTATTTGACGGAGATCGCACAATCATAACAAGCAATACAATACTGTTTTCATGTCGAAAAATAAATCAATAAAATGTCAAATGGCTGGTTCCAGAATATTTGACGACGGAAAAAACTTTCGGAATAACAAAAACGTCTTGCAGTTTAACCCAATCGAGTAACCCACATAGGTATACCTAATGCACATTAAATATTGTTTGATATTTCAATGACTGTCATAATACTCATGACAGTCATAACACTTATCGGCGCGTTAGGTTAGATATCTATATATGTAATATATAATATATATATAATGTATAATTTGATAACGCGTTATAAAAACATAAAAAAAAAACGGTTACCCTACGTGTTTAACTGTCCAAAAACACATTACGTAGTAGGTATATACGTCATATAGAATAATATGTTATTTTCGTATTACAAGTACCTGTGGGAGAGGGCATTATTCTACCCCAATCGATCGAAATCGGTCAAACATTCCCATCCCCCTCTCAGTTATATTGGAACGCGTTTTTTAATCGGGAAAATGTAGATCTGTGGTTGAGAATAGAATCGCGTGCGCTCAGAATACAAACAATATTTTGTCGTGTATAATAATATATTTGCAATTAACTGTGCACAGGTGTCGCGTGCGATCACGTGGAGGGCGGTAGGTATATCGGTCCTGAGTTTTTGCTGGGCGGTCACGTTTACGACGGGTCGCAGACCGAACAGATCGTCCTGTACCGGCCGGTGTACGTGAGCGTACGTCATCCGAACTGCAATAATTCGACGTCGGTGGCGGCGGAGACTGCGACGACGACGACGACTGGGACAACGACGACGACGACGACGACGACGACCGGGACGATAACGACCGCGTGAACGAATGCAAATTCGACGGCGGCGGATTTACGATTTATTTTATTGTAGTTTATTATTTCTCCGGTCGACAGTAAAAGACGGTAGAACCGTCGCGTGTGCGTTTTCAGGGGGAGACGGGCAGTGCAATTGAATTATTGCGATTTGCAGCATCATCTACAGCATTATTCCTAATGCAATTCGAGGATTAAATTATTATTTATATGTTTAATATTTTAGATTTGAGACACCCTGCACACGTGTAGATGTTTAGTCTGCGCGTGTGCCTACACCTTACTGGTGTATTTCGGTTTTAGCGTACCTCAGTTCGTCGCGGTAAATTGGTTTCGGTGTACCTACCCCACTTCATTAACCAATTCAGCTGAGACGGGAAATCCGCCTGTAGCCCCTGGTATAATAATTTTAAACGTGGTCCAAACTCTTTCTTGTTATCTCTAAAAGAACTAACTCTGAAACTGTCGCCAAAATTGGTCCATAAACTACAAGTATACAAGCATTGTTTTTTGTTGTACGTTTTAGTAACAAACGATCAATTAAATAACATTTTATTTATTTAAAAAAAAAATCCCAAAAGGCTACCATGGGTTTGAATCTATACATATACCTAGTTTAACACACTCACTTGAAAATATTGACTTTATTGTTTTTGATTTACGTAGTTCAGTGATCTAGAAATAATAGTGCAATATTGCAATCAAAATGTATAGTCGTGTAAAGCCTTTTGAAGTTCGAATTTTAAACTAACGACACGCGTGTAGTTACATAACCCTATCGATATTTTAAAAATTCACAATAGTGTTAACAATTATAATGATTGTACGATATAAAGGTATAAATTAGGTAATCGATTTTTTTTTGTTAAATTATATAATTTTTTAAAAATAATACCACAAACTAAAATTATAAAGGCTTATAATAACTAATAACAGTAATAACTGTTAATATTATTTTATGGGCATTCACAAAATTCGGGAAAAAAATGTTTTCAAGTATAACGTTAAATTTTATTAAGAATTTATCTACTTTATTAATATAGGTAATCAAATTATTATATGATTTTACATAAAAAATTATTCACATTACTGCAGCTATAGAAAATTGGGGTGTATAAAATTAATTTTAGAATGCAATTGTTATCTATTTATAGTTCCATCACAGGCATAAATTTACAATTTATTATTTATTTATTATGTATTACCGAGTGTCAAGAATATGACTTACGGGTATATTGTATTAATAAATATTCTCCTGGCCCCTTATGACTCTTTATGTCTAATTTACATTAATGATTGTTTAAATCTGAAGTGGAAAACCCAAAAATAATACCTAGATTTTTGTGTACAGTATTTATCTTTTTTTAATTAAATAACAACAAAGTGTGTTATTGTTGATACAACACGATTGGTCATTTTTACCAGATCGGCATTCAATTTAAGTATTCAAAATGCATACACGTTTAGGAACTTGATACCTATCGACGATTTCCTAAAAAAAAATACTACGTTTGGCTTTGGACATTAAAATGAAAAAGTATTGACCATTTTATTAAGAACTTGAGAAGTATATAAACCATATATGACATAAAAAAATATAATCTACTATAATAGTGCTTTTATTGGCTTAATAAAAACTCATTATTGAGGTTCTTTGCGCAACCACCATTTCGCTCTATTTGATCCTGTCAATCAGTGGCGTGATTAAGATTTCTTCGAGGGGGGAGATATGACTAAAATTTTTAAACGTTTCAACAATTTATTACTTACCTACTAATAAAGTTATAAATGGAAAAAACACAACTATAAACATATAAATATAAGTTAAAAAAAGAGTGGGTCAAAGAGAGAGATATATCTATTTGATTTCCTCCCATAAATACGTCACTGCTGTTAATAGCCATCTTTTCACCATTATAAAATCTAGTACGGAAAAGTCTTTATGGACTCTGTTCATCCATCATTGTCTTAGATGACATAATGGTTTTTTGCTCTCCAGTATCCATTTGGTTGGTTACTTATCCGATTACCTGTTCCCGGCTCTGAAATCCATGTCCTGTCCAAATTAACCTTTATCTTTTCGTTGTTACCACTAAGTTTATCTGAATCATCTAATTCAGTGATTCCCAACGTGAACGATACTATCCCTTGTAGGATTTTTTAGTTTTGAGAAGAGCGTTTAACTTAAGTTAACGCTGCTGGGTGCTAAAGGGGATGATTCAACAGCGACTTTTATTATTTTTATTTTTCATAACTTATTGCAATAAAGTGTATAGATAACTGCGTACAATTAAACATAATTTAAGATATTAAACAAAATTCTTTCAGTATGTATAATAAATATATATACTGAAAAAATTGAATATAAAATAATGAAACTATAAATTTTTTTTTTAATTTATTGGTGGGAGGGCAATGTAAGATTTTTGAAAACCTTAAAGGAGTATTGAGTAAAAAAAGGTAGAGAATCACTGATCTATGGAATTCTAACATACTTTTATTTACTTCTTCGTTCGTATTATACCATATTCTAATTTCTTCTGAAATCAACAATTTTCCCTGTAACATGCAGCTACTAAAAATAACCTACGTGAAAAATATGTTAGATACATCAAATTTGTATAACAATCAATATCGAGTATATAAAATACTATACTAATTAAAAAATTTTAGGGCATTAAGGGCGGATTACAAATATGTTTAAAATGTTTAAATACATTTTTAATGATCTACAAAATGTTTGGAATAAGTCTCACTAGGAAGATAGAATAATGAGAAATATCTTTCCATCAGCAACGTTGATATTTCAATAGGTGTTGCAAATCTGTGCCCCATAAGAACGTGTTAAACTCAAAAGGTGTCCTTTTCTGGTTATTTTATGGTTTAAGTGCATAAAAGCTTACTAGTAATATAGTACAGGCTACACAATACTCAAACGTGTTAGGTAGATACATCAAAAAAAAATAATAATAATAATAGTACTCACACATATGACTGTTTTCTAACGTGCTGCATTGTGGGATGAAATGACCAAACGTGTTGTAGGCATTATTGAATAATGCTAATTTTTATTAAATCTTTGAAACATTTTACTTATGCCCTGTTTGTGTGCCAATGTATTTAAATAGTAAATTTTTCTAGTATTATAATTACAGCAAAACGCCATAACAACAATACTTGTATTGACAAAAAAAAATAATATTCATTATTATTTATCATCAGTCAATTAAAATATTTTTAAATTATGTAAAATCTATAAACGGATATACCTATTAACCATTTTTACAAGCCCCAAAAAAATACAACAATAATAAAAATGTAAAATTTTAAGTTTTTTAACGTTTGTGTTTAAAAGTATATGTGTATAAATAATGAGTGTGACAATTTGATGAATTGTATTTCTATATAACTATACTCAATATGATAATGATTTATTAAACGTTAAAAAAAAAAACAATCATTTTGATTTAAAATAAATATGTTTCTTGTATATAATTTAGAATACTAAAAAAATAAATAACAACACTAATGTATACACAATTGCGATGTAAAATGTGATTATTAAGCCTAAATAAATAATGTGATTAATTTGCATTACAATATGTTGATCAACAATGAAAACACTAAACTATAAAAATTACTGTTATTTTGATCTATATTAAATATTGAGTCACAATAAGATAAATTGTTGTGAAAAAATTGACCCATACATTTTGAGCAACATTTTAATTAAAAAAACAAAAATTTTTGACTAGTACATTATTGCTAACAAAAATATTACAAAGTAATAGATTGGATAATATGGTATTAAAAAACAAAAAAAAAATGTTATACATATTTTACAACATTAGTAACAAAACAAATAATTTGTTCTTGAAAGTTGTAAAAAGATATCAAGTCTTATACTTAAAAGTATTTATAATACAAATAATTATTACCTTCAGCATTAATAATACTGATTGTAACAAAAGTTATACAATACAACTATTAGAAGATAATCAAATAAAGTAAAATTACAATAAGATATTAAGATGTAAAATATAATATAATTATATGATAAATAATATGAATGACTATTTTTGACTAAAATGTAATGTAGTAATATCAGACAAGAAGTTATAGATGTTATTATTTTCCAACAGAAAATAATTTAATTAAATTAAAATTTTGATAAACTGTCAAGTATTAAAATACTGTTAAAATTTTATAATTTAAGCTAAATCTTGCTGTTTTATATTGGAGTTGATTAATAAAATAAATGTAATTACCATTATTTATGATTTTAATTTAAAAAAAAAGTTTTATTAGATAAAGTTTCTAAAATGTAAAAATATAATAAATATCAAGTCAGTTTGAAAGGAAAACAATTTTAGAATCCAAGTTTATTGCTTTTAATCAAAATTAATAGAAGACAAGGCTGTGGTCCAATATGTGATCTACCATTGAATTTGCCAAATAGGTAATTAGCATTGTCTGATATGTGATCTACTACTCTCATGAATTACATAACGTAATTCCCAAATGTTACACATCTGATATAAAAAATTGAAAGCTGTTAAAATAAAATATATTAATACATTTATTACAGTAACTTTACTACCCATAATTTAAGTAGATGTAGAGAATGATTCAACTATTCATAATAAAGAGTAGTATGCATATACCTTGATGACAGTAAATCATCAAAAAATATTGTTGACCCAAATACACACATACTCGCAAAATAAAACATAATAGTATTACTAAAAAAAACTTTAAATTTAAACTAATTGTTACTTTTATATTGTTTACAAGGCAGTTTTAAGAAAAAAATGGTAACATTCCTTTTGGTCAAATAGTAATACAATCTTTGAAGAATATCTTTAAGATCTTAGATTGAAATTTTTAAATCAAGGTAGGTCAAACTTTGATGGTAGGTCACACATTGAATAATATAAAATTCAAAACAGTAAAAAAAAAAAAAAATAGTTAATCAGAATTCTGAAAATTAAGTTAAATAATCCATTTTTGAATAATATTTTTACATTAATAGATACTGATTTGCTAATCATTGCATTTTAGATGTAAAATGTGAAGATGGAATTACAGATAAAAATAATTCCAAAGTCAATAAAAGTATACAAGACAAACGCAACTAAGTTATTAAAACAATATTTTACTTTAAATTATAGGAAAAAAACGAATGAATAATGTATTTTCAAGCAAGAAACATCTTAAATATTTAACTTTATTAAGCATTTTATAACTTATATTTTACCCAAGTGTTTATATACCAACACGAATAAATAAAATAATTACCCTGTACAAAATATTGCAAATTTATTAATTTGTATGACCAACAAAGTGTTAACTAAATACAAGTACTCTGTTTATCTTTAATTAAAGGGTTAAATCTAGGGTAAACTTATAAAAAAAGTCTAGATTTTACAATTATTTAAAATGTAAATTAATTTCAGGATATTCAAAAAGTTTAATCAGATAAAGATGAATAAATCAAAATATATTTATTAATTTAAGTAGTGAAGTATGAACATTGTTTCTATGCAACAAACTTATTTAATATATAATACAATTATCTTTCATAATTTTTAATTAAATATTATGCAAACTTTTAAATATCTAACTTAATTTAAGTTAAAACATTTAAAAATGTTTCAGTTCATGTAAGTTATTTAAACCAAAATTCAGAAAAATACTCATTTTAACATATTTTTCATTGAAATGATTTAAAAATAGGTTTGACATAAGTAAATGTACTTGAAAAGTAACATATACTTTTCTAATGAAGTTGAAAAACAAATATGTCTACAATCTTACGATGGATAAGTTTTTCGTGAATATTTCTATT